GCCCGATGTGCTCTCCAGCACGGGAGGAACTAAGTCTAAGTCTAAGTCATTCAAATTTTGGATAGCCCTTCATTGTTTGGATCTTATTGATCAACCAGGGCCCGTAGGGTTCGATGGAGATGTGAGACAACTACGTAGGAGAAGTGGCTCCCTCAAACTCTGTACTCTTCGAGTCTCTTGAACTCTAGCAAAAAGAATTATGCAAGAAACAGCCTTAAGATGAAGTATGGGAGGTAGAGGCGCTGGGTACAGCACGGACAATATGTACAATAGACTAATGATGGGACGAACAGGCTTGATTCTCTGAACCCCTCATTTTCGTCAGTGACCATCAATGTTTCATGAACAAGATCCAGAACCCCTCATTTTCGTCAGTGACCATCAATGTTTCATGAACAAGATCCATTTGATCAAAAAGCAATTACTTGGACGTGGCTTGGCGCTGGCTCTATACAATCTGCTGATGGCTAGACCGTCAACGTGGTAGTTCCAAGGGTTTGAAAATAGATGGCAATCTGTCTGTATACATAAGCGGATTCGGCAGTCCTTATCCCGAAAGGTTTTTGGGGCATTTCTTTTAAACATTTGGGAAATCCTCTCGAGTTATTCCTCCGTTGGCATATTTGGACGATGAGATGATGTTGTCTGAAACCCGATCATAACTTTCCACTCAAACTTTACAGGATCATTTCGAAATGGGGAGTGGTAGGTCAACTACTGAGTGCAGGTCACCATTCTCAATCAACAATTGGGCCGCCCGTAGTGGTTCGATACCGCCCTGACTCATCTTCCGGGCAGCGTCCTTCACCTTTTTGTTTTGCCTTTTTTCTCACTATTTTTTTATTTCGTTATTAATAACTATAAAAGTTCTACGATCATCAACCTTCTAATTCTCAGCACAAAATGAACTCTAAGTTTTTAGGAAGCAATAACGATGGGGAAAGTAGGAATTCTAAAAAAAATAGGGATTTTTGGATGCAGGCCTGGAGAGACTTCATGTAGATCTTTGTTTTGGTTCTAGGAATCGTGAACAGCTGCTTATAAGGCAGTATGATTTCCAACACTTCGCAAAAAAAAATAACTCATGTGAAACCATAAAAGCAGGTTTCTTGGGAATAGCTTCCATGAAAATATCCATTTTGGTGTAATAACTCGTCGGAGACTTTCTTCTGGCACCGGAAAAAAATAATTTGTGTGTCGGATTGCATGATGATATTGATAGCTCGTAGGCAGTAAGAGGTAGTGAGTTGTGCAGTTTTTGAGGGGGGATGTATGATGTAACTGTCGTAGCTTCGATGACTGCATCGCAAACCCTTGCTGGAAACCATTAAAAAATATCATACACCCAAAATATCTTCCGTCATTTTATGGCCCCTTACCCAGTTGAGTGGGGCTCCAATTCCTGAACTTTACAGCTCTCTTCATGCATTGAAAAATAGAATTCAGCTTTTAAGAGGTAATGGATCCTCTGTAGAATATCTCTTTCTCAACATTTGGAGACACCCACCCAATTTGCCGATATCATTCGGAATTATCCCTAGCAGGATCTCATTCTGCTACTTCTATTTCCTAGCAATGGACGCTTGTTCTCTATGCACGTGGTCCGAGTTATGAATTTGGGCAACAGACTGAGGGACATGTAGATGACACTGTGAATGAACCACAAGAAGCCTTTCAAAACCAGTAATTTCAGGTAGTGCTGACAGATGACATGCTCTGTGTAGGCAGTGAGAGGGTGGCAACGGCGGATAGGCATTGAAGCGTTCAATCGCAGAAAAATATTGTATCCCCTCGGTCATCCATTTGGATTCAGCAGGAAACCATCCTGGTACCGCCACCATACTTCTCTCCGGTATGCGAGGCTTCGTGGCTTCGTCAGAAAGGGGAAAACCCTAAAAACTCAAGCACAGGTAAGCCTTTAAGTTTACTAAGCCTCCAAGTCAGCAATCGCTATGGTGTCTTTCGCCAATGCCGCCCAATCCCCGCCATTGAACACCACCGCGGTTGTCTCAGTGGCGAAATATGCTACTTCCCGCTAATTACTTCCTTCATTCATAAACAATTTTTGGGGAGAAAAGGGAATATTCGAAAACCCTAACAACCTCGTCAGTATAGGAACCAAAATACAATGAGAAGCTGGAACTTGCCGAACCTAAAATACCGCTACGATACTTCTCTCTGGTGCGCGAGGCTTCATCGTTTCGTCAGAAGATGGGAAACTGATCTCACTGTACGATCTCTTGTTAAGGCTCGACTGGGTGGGGTAAGTTTCCCAAATAGATAGAGGGCACGTCGTCATCTGTTATGAAGACGATTTCTCCTACCTTTGGATGTTTTCTTGTAAACGTTTTCTGATTGATACGGGTTTGATGACAATTCCTTAGTTCCAGTAGGTAGGTTGATGTCCAAACTTTCCAAAGCTGTTGTGAAGATGTGTGAATCGCCTCAATATATTCGGTTGCTTTTTCCTTTGAGGAGATGTGTGGGAAGAATTCTTTGTCTTCACCGTTTGTTGAATTTTCATTCGAATGGGGTGGAAGTAAAGTTATTTGCGCGAGAGGGATGAGGAAATCTATGGGACGTAGCACTACTGTGTCTTCCAGCGTGCTTCCCATATATGTTAGTGGCCTTGAGTTTACCATTGCCTCACATTCGGTAACAAGTGTGTGGAAATCGTCTTCGTTTAGACGCTTTCTTCCTACAGTTTTTCTAAGTGCTGATTTCATAACTCCGATAATCCGTTCATAAAATCCCCCTTTCCAAGGCGATATCGGGGTTATGAATTTCCAGTTAATAGTTTCTTTTGTGAGGAACTTGTTAAGTGTATCAATTGTTGTTGGTGTACTAGTATCGATTGCCGCGATTATTTCTTGCCCCATTTTGAAATTCGTTGCATTATCTGATATGTTTGTTTTTGGTTTTCCTCTTCTCGCGATAAGTCTACGCAGTGCATTAATTAGCCGTAGAGCGCTAAGATTGTTAACGATTTCCAGATGGACCGCGCGTGTTACCATGCATGTGGTGAGGCAGATCCGGTGCTAAGTGAGTTGGGAGGGGCCACGCGGCGGCGCGGCGCCTTTTCATGTCTGCGCCCTCTGTAGCGAGATAGTAGTAGTGCGCCTGGGTCTGGGAAGGGATGGTGAGGTTGTACTGAAGTCTTTCGTGATTCAAAACAAACTACCTCTTGACACATGTTATACGCTTGCATACTATGGATACTCTTCTTCTGAGCCGATAAAACCCTATTTTTAAGAAGGGGAGGAGCTCCGGGGTGGGTGAGATGGTTATCTCGTGCAAAAAGCTGAGATGAGGTAAAAACTGAACGTCCAATTGGCTCACCCACCCCGGAGCCCCTTCCCTTCCTTAAATTAGGTGAAAACACGCAGTTATAACATAAAAGAACTTTGAAACGTCCCTAAACACCATTGCGGACTCGCCTATTCTTGCTTGTCCACTATCTCACCGGAGAGGGCACAGACATGAAAAGGCGCCGCGCCGCCGCGTGCCCCCTCCCCCCCAACTCCCTTAGCACCGCAGATCCATCGTTTATGTATCTCTTTCCCAGCATCGATTATTTCGAAGGGTCCCGCCAGATCGATGCCAATGTTGCGGAAGGCGCGGCATGGTTCGACGCGGGATGGTGGCAAGGGAGGTGAGTCGGGGTAAAAATAAGGTTTCCCATTCCATCTTTTGCAGATAATGCATCTATTTATGCTTTGCTTTACCATTTGTCTTCCTTTTGGTATCCAGAATTTTACTCTTATATTTGCCAACGTTCCATTTACGCCTTGGTGACCGCATCGCTTATGTGTATCTTGTATGATAAGCGTTGTTAACGGGTGTGAGGACAAAAGTAGGATGGGCTCCAGGGTCTCCCTCGGTAAATACGGAGTTTGAACTCTTCCTTTGCATCGAATGATGCTATGTTCGTCCTTGTTAAGGTTAAGTTGTTTCCATTTTTGAATTGTTCAGAGGTAATTTGGTTTTGCATCAAACGAATTAGAAAATTTTCAGCAAGTATCACGTCTTGCGTGTTGATAATAGATAGAGGATAACGGGAAGAGACCTTAGATAATTCAGGTATGCTTTCCAGTGATCTAGATTGGTGCGTTTGACTTACTTTGTCGTATATTTTCTTTTTGATGAATTTCAAAATCAATGACGCTACCATTTTGTACACAATGTACACACTGAGCGGGAGAATTTCGATGAAGAAAATCACATACTGTATAACAATAACGGTATCGAAAACAGTACCAGCAGGCTTATGATCGTTCCGGTTCACGTCCGTAACGAAGAGAATGAAGAAATGGAAATAGCACAGGCACTGTTGGACTCAGCTTCGGATAGCTCATTCATCGCAGCGTCCCTAGTTGTAACCACATTCGGAGGTAAAGCAGAAACAAAGCACGTTCACAAAGTGAACCTTTCCCTCTTTACCCCTGAGGGAGCAAGAGTACCTGTGACTCTACTTACTGACGAAAAAATCACTTCTACAATGGAAATGAGTAGCATACCAGACATCGACATCGAGACTCTCCAAAATTACTATCCTGAAAATATCGCCTCGCTCCTGAGCGGTAAACAATTCCATCCAGAGATCCTGCTAGGGATCGATTCCTTCTACGACGTGGTAAAAATAGACGAACCAATACTGCGACTTCCCTCCGGACTATTCGTCACCCCCACGATATTTGGTCCAGTGATTTCGGGAGCGCACCAAGCAGCTAATGAAAAGAAAACTGAAGCCACTTAAAGAAAAAGGAAAACATCTAACAATACCAAGACTTGAACTACTAGCATTATTAATCGGAGTTCGTTTAACGAACTTCGTTTTCAAAGAAATATCGTTGAACATCGGAAATATAAGAATATACAGTGATTCTCAAATTGCACTACATTGGCTGCAATCCCAATCCAAGAACGGTACCTTTGTCGATAACAGATTCAAAGAAATAAGAGAAAAAATGGACAGCTGGAAAGACAGCGGAATTTCAGTGCCTTTACATCACATCCCTTCAGAATTAAACCCGGCGGATTATGCCACTAGAGGCCTAACAAAAGATCAATTGAGGGAACATGTATGGTGGAATGGACCTGCGTTCCTTACCCTTCCCTATTCGAAATGGCCGAAATTGCCAGAGTTCAAATGGTCTAAAAACGACATGACCGAAGAAGACAAAGAGGCAAATCCTGTTACAGAAAGAGTGCATCTGGCATACTCAAAATCGCCAGTGGCACCTGTCAGAAAATGTGTCTTTTTCGAGCAGCAGTACGCCTCATTCAATCAATGTCGTATACTGGGTGTCGGTGAGCGGGAAAATCTTACCCGAGCAGTGCCCTGTGTGTCCCTTGATCTCGGTGGGGGTGATCGATTCCATGATTCATCCTTTTTGGGGGGCTGGTTGGTATCCAGACGGTGGGTGAATTTGGAAGGGCTGCTGCTTGTTGTTCGATTAAATCTTCTATTTCCAAATTTCCTATAATGTATATTGTTACCCGGATTATGATCCCGAGATGCAGAGCGGTGATATGTCTTATACGGATACGTTCCCCGTTGAGGTGAGTGTCTGTAATGTCTAGTTATTTTTCTATCGTTCTGACATAAAGTTGGGTGGTGATGTCTACCACATTTTGAGCATGGGTTACGTGTGCATGCTCTGGTGCGATGGTTCGCACTAAAACATTTCCAACATACACTGAGCGTTTTCATACGATTTATTTTCTGCTGAGGGGTTATGTATTTTCTGCATTCTTGGAATTTGTGGTTCTGATTACATCCTACGCAGCGAATGGTAGTACAAGCCCGACTGTGGAATGTGGATACTTCTTCTACTCTGGTGATTTCCTTACGGTTTTCCATGAATTCTCGACGTTTAATAATGGTGGTCAAGTTATCTAGTAACTCGTCCAGTGTCTTCCCGAATCGAATACTTTTGTTGCGATTTCTTTTTGAACTTTGTGAGAGAACGTTTCCGTGACGAGGCTGATCATATGCGTAGTATCCACGATTTCCCCTTGGCGTCTAGGAGTAGCGATGATCGCTTCAACGTCATTTAAAGTATTTCTTAGCGACCTGTGATCGTCTCTAGAGGGTCGCATTGATTTTAATTTTCCGATCATTTCCATGGTGACCCTGTATGGATCCTTATACTGCTTTTTCAATTGTTCAATTGCCCTTTCATAGGAATCGCCTGTTCTTAGGATCATTTGAATTGCTCTTGCGGCGTCTCCTGTACAGCAGCTGATCAGTATTGAAAATTTTTCAATGTTTGAGTATGGTTGCTTATGAACCAAGTCCTCAAATAGTTCCCAAAACGAGTCGAATTCTGAGGCCTTACCGTAGAATTCTGGGATTTTCAATTCATTGCCAATGAGTCGTCGATCCAATGAGCGCCATAGGTTACCTAACGTGTTGTGCATTTCCCACTCTTGTGAAGTAGGATACACGGGAGGTGTTTCCGTAGTGGCGCCCATTGGAGCGTTAGAGGTTGTCATGGGCTGAGTTAGGTGTTCTCTATGGGGTGACTCCAGACCCATTTCCTGTTTGATAGAGATGTCCTGACATTTAATTTCCACTAACCGCTTTTGTAGTACGCGCAGTTGCCTTTCTGCTTCGTTAATTATATTTTCCCCATCTTTTGTTTCCCAGTATTCATCAAAGTCTTCCATCAATTCTTTACCATCAGTGCCTTTGATTTCTAGGAGTGTTCCAGTGATTGAAGAAAGGCTTTCCTGGTATAGATTCCAAGTAGATTCCTTTTGTGTTTCCAACTTTTCACACAGTTCCTGAACGATGATTGGTTTCGTTATGAGGAACTGTTGTAGATCTTTCAGAACTGTAGGGAACTGCCATGGAGTTTGATACTCCTCAGCTTCAGCAATGAGGCCGAGTAGGCAGTTGAGATTCCTGGTGAGCTTCTGCTTCACTCCTTTCAGGCTGAAGGCGGACGACATGAGCGCTGACAAGACAATGGGATGGATGGGGATGGGTGCGATAGGCCGTATTTATGTGACTTTGTTATCAGCTAAGATGAATCATCTTTGAGTTTCCCAAACATTTTGTTGATCGAAATAAACATTTGATCTCATGTTGTGGGAAA